TATATATATATATATATATATATATATTATATATATATATATATATATATATATATATATATATATATATATATATATATATATATATATATATATACACATATATACACACACACACATGTATGTATGTATGCTTTTTAATACGTATACACATACACATGCAAAGCAAACACAGCACCTTAGACGTGTCCAGCAGCGACGGGTCCAGCAGGCTGAAGGGCAGGTGCGTCTTGATGGTCCTCGGCGCCGGCAGGACCTCCGTGATCTGCAGTTGGAGTCCGTCGAGAGGGTTCTTGCCCGGACACATCTTGAAGAAGGCCTGCACCATCGGGTGGTTGAGGGGGGGCGGCTTGTCGCTCGAGGCGGCTATCATGTCCATCCTTGCGGGGGGGGGAAAGGGGCGGTTATTTGGGTGGTGTTGGATGGGGTGGTGATGGTGGTGGGATGGTGGGGTTTGATGGTGGTTGTGGTAATGATGGTTGTGGTGGGGATGGGTATGGTGACGGTTATGATGGTGGTAGTTTTAGTACATAACCTTAACGATGTATATATATACATACACACATATACACACACACGCACACAAACGACGAAAAACGAAGGTCAAGGAAAAAGTGCCGATAGATAGACAGAGGATGAGAATAAGAGAAAAATGGATAAGCAGACAGACAGATAAACAGACAGATAGACAGAGACACGGATAGACAGCACCAGCAGTGGACGACGCACTCAAAGAACAGGGAACGGTCAAAGACGTGGGTGTTGGTCAAAGAAAAAGAGCTGATAGATAGAGGGAGAGAAGAGAAAAAATGTATAAGCAGACAGACAGACAGACAGATAGACAGACAGACAGATAGATAGACAGACAAACAGAGACAAATAGAAGACAGACGATTCACTCGAGAAGGTCAAAGATGTGAGTGTCAGTCAGTAAAAACGGTAGATAGACAGAGGATGAGATAAGAGACAAAAGGATAACAGACAGACAGACAGATAGACAGATAGAGAGATAGACAGACGACTCACTCGAGGAAGGGCGAGCGGGCGAAGATGTGGGTGTTGGTCAAGGAAAAAAAGTGCCGATAGATAGACAGAGGATGAGAATAAGAGACAAAAGGATAAGCAGACAGACAGACAGAGACACAAATAGACAGATGTGATGTGTGTTGGTCAAGGAAAAGATACCAATAGATAGAGGGGAGAGATTAAGAGACAAAAGGATAAGCAATAAATGGATAAGCAGACAGACAGACAGACAGAGACACAAATAGACAGACAGACGACTCACTCGAGGAAGGGCGAGCGGGCGAAGATGTGGGTGTTGGTCATGGGATGGTTCAGCTCCGGGTTGTTCCTCATCGTCCACACGATCTCCTGCATCCACGTCGTGCCGCTCTTCGAGTACGTCATCACCACCACGTCGCTCGGTTGGAACTGTCGGATTTTTATTGTTATTATTATTATTATTATCATCATAATTATTATTATCATTATTGTTATCATTATTATTATTATTGTTGTTATTGTTATTGTTATTGTTATTGTTATTATCATTATTAATATTGTTATTATTATTATTATTATTATTATTATTATTATTATTATTATTATTATTATTATTGTTGTTGTTGTTGTTATTGTTAATGTTATTCTTCTTATTATTATTATTATTATATTATTATTATTATCATTATTATTATTATAATTTATATTATTATTTATTATTATTATTATTATATATTATTATTATTATTGTATTTTTAAAAGTAATATATTTCTTTTGCTTCATAAAACGTCAGTGGTCGAGTACTACTTCCATAGACGTATACCTTTTTAAGTAGAATGTGTGATGTCACCTTTTTTCTTTTTAGAGAAACCCACAATGCACGAACTAGATTTATTGAAGAAAGTGAGACAACAGTTTCGGAATCGTTCTCTGACCCGAAGATGGAATGGAGGACGATTCCGAAATTATGTCTCACTTTCTTCAATAAATCTAGTTTGTGTATTGTTGTTTTTCTACCATATCAACAACCGTAGTTTTTTCTATTTTTCATGGATTTTTTTTCTTGTTGTTATATGTTACCAGGACAAGGTACCCTAGCATTGCATTTCCTTAGTCTATATCATATATATTGGATGATTGCTTTAACGATTAATAACATTTAATAATTAATAACTAATAATTAATTAATAATAATTTAATAATGAATAATTTAATAATTTAATAATAATAATTTAATAATTAATAATTTAATAATGAATAATTTAATAATTTAATAATGAATAATTTAATAATTAATAACGCTTAATAACAAACGAATAACTTACCTTGAAATTATAATACTTGTCCCCGAACTTGAGGAAAGGCGCCGGGAAGAGCCATCTACCGGGCTCAAGGCGAACTAAAACCCTTGCAGTAAGCCCGTCCAGTCCCTCTTCTGGCGCCCCACTCCTCGCCCTCCAGGATGACGCCTTGTGCCCCTCGCCAACTCCATGC